CCCTCCTGCTTGCACTCCATTTAAAAGCACATTTTCAAACTCATCTCCTCCAGAACACTGACAATAATGTTCCTTTCTCTGTGTTTTCCCCCAGGGGTGGCACAGGAGCGCTGGGGCATTGATGGGCAGAGGACATGCACAAGCCTTCAGCGGGAGAGTGCTGTGGGGGGAATATCCAGCTCTACCAAGGTAAAACAAATACCTTCTGTTTAGATAGCAGTCAGCAGAATGCAGGAGGGTTTAAAAAATAATCACTGATTGCTGAGCAGTGTGTTTGGACTTGGGTTTGTTTAGCTAGGCTTAGCTTAGGCAGCAGAAAAGCCAAATAAAATGATGGTGAAGTGTTGTGTTTCTGCCTGTGCTGGGTGAGGGGGGGAAATTGCATGTCTTGTGGGGGAAAAGAAATTGTTAAAAACAGCCCAGGAGACTAAATCAAGTGGTGTCCCAAATATCAGTACACTCTGCCTGAGCTGGTCTCAAGATAAAGCCTGAGGTTTTCAGCTCACCACAATTACTTTGTGTGTGTGGTTTTTTTTCGCCAAGTGCACTGAAGCTTGTAAGCTCCCAACGAGCATAGGATCAGCTGGGCAAACCTTAAAGATCCATTTCTTTGACAAAGATTGGGAAGAGGAGGGAATATTACATACAACCAAGCAGAAAAAGGCAAAGTAAGTTATTTAAAATATTGATGCATGAGTTTGTAGCTAATCAGGAGTGGTTTTGACATGCCTTTGGACTCTTGCAGGATGTCTCCATCTGTGCAGCCCTTAACAAAAGAAATAAATGTCAAATTAACTACTGGAGCATGAGAGATGCATCCAAAATCAAGTCTCTCAAGGAACATTGTTGTTTGGTGCCCTGTAGAAATCTCAGGGAAGCTGAGAGTTTTGGAAGGCATGCAAAGGTCTTAAACCTGTAGGTAGAAGTAAATGAAGTGCAGAAAATATGAGGCAAATGTTGTTACAAACCATGAAAGAAACAGAGAAGGGAGAAAATGCTTTCCCTGGGGCTGTGAAATTATTGAATTGTCAAAACCACAGGCAGCTGCTTTAAAGAGTTGATCAAATTTACTGGGCATTTCACCTCATTAATAAATGCCTGATCTACCTCTACCCATTTGGGTTCCCAATCAGCTCCTTCCAAAGAGGTACAAAGGAGCTTTTGGGGGTGTTTCCCTGCACAGAGGACAGGAGCACAGGAATGGTTTTACAGAATCTCTGAGTCACAGAATGGTTTGGGTTGGAAAAGAGGTTAAAGATCATCTCCCCATGGGCTTTGATGCAGTGTCCCACCTCTGGCACCAGGCCCAAGAAGGATGATCATGGCACCTGTAAGGTGATTATGCTGTCACGTTCATAGTCTTCCTGGAGGAATAATAATATTGTGTTGAATGAGACCCTTGTTGGGTGCTGGCATTGATTATCATCTGATAGATGCCCCTAAACCCTAAACCAGATCCTCCAGCACCAGATCCAGACACCTCTTAAACACCTCCAGGGACGGTGACTCCACCACCTCCCTGGGCAATATCCCAGGGCCTCAACACCCTCACAGGGAAAACATTTCTCCTCACATCCAATCTGACTCTGCCCTGTCCCAGCTCAAGGCCATTCCCTCTAGTCCTCTCCCTGCAGCCCTGGCAGGACACACATCCCACACCTCTCTCCAGCCCTGGCAGGAGTTGCAGAGAGCCAGGAGGTCACCCCTGAGCCTCTTCTCCAGGCTGACCAAGCCCAACTCCCTCAGCCCTTGCCCATGTGCTCTGCCCTTTGCTGCCCTCGTTGCCCTTGGCTGGACTCGCTCGGAGCCTTAATGGCCTTTGGGCAGTGAGTGCCCAAAACTGAGGTGTGACCTCCCCAGTGCCAAGTACAAAGGAAGCTAATCCTCAGATTGTGTGTGCCAATTCAGTGGGTTGGTTTTGTTTTTCTATTAGGACCAGAAAATCTGGGAACACAGGGCAGGAGCAATCTAACCAGGCAATTTACAGCAGCAGTGACACTAGGCCAAGTGCTTTACTGCACGTGACTTACGTGACCAGTTGTGTGGATGATAATAGCAAGAGGTTTTAAACTTAGCTTTACTTTGTCAGGTGGCTTTAGCATCAAGGCACCTCCTTTCTCACCTCCTGTGAAGTAATGTACAGTCTGTCAAGACAGATGTGTATTGTCACGGATGGAAAAATTAATCTGGACCAGTGTCAATATCTGAGCCACTGTCGATCAATCTTGGGCATATGTGCTTTTACATTATTGGTGGCTGTCACTGAGTAATCATAAGCAAGAGGGAGCTAATTAATTAAAACTGTACCCAGAGCCCTTATATAGGTAACTATATCACTTTTGTGGGAGGGATCATGGAGAAGTTGTTCTGTGCTTGTAATTGGTGAGGCTGTAGAGCTGTCATGGCCCTGGTGCCCACATGTGCTCTGCAACACACGTGAACCTTCAGGATAATGATCCATAATATCTCTAAATGGATTTTAAATTCCAGCAGGCCATCATGAAAGAGGAGTTTAGAGTCTGAAACTGTCAACTGCTTTTGCCATGTCCATGTTTAAACAGCCACAAATCCCAACTGTGCTGATGGGTTAAATACTCAAAATATTAGTATGGAATACACATTTTAAATTTTAATATATTTTTTTCACAAGAGTGATAAGGTTTTCATGGAAGTCTAACAGACAATTCAGAGCTGATTTCAAGACTGTGTTTTTAAATGACAGAAAATTTAGACTGAATACAAAGTGAACAAGAAATCTTGGAACAAAACTGGTGTGCTAGACAGTGGATGAGAAACAGTTGCACATAGTATAAAGGAACACGTTGAAAATTTGAATCTTTTCACTTGCAGGAATCTCTGTTTTCACGAAATACAACACTGATTTCACCAGTAATCATTTCACAGATGACTGATGAGAATAAACCCAAAGAAAATCAGCCTACTTTGCCTATGCAGCCCCTGATCCCCCAGCCCAGTGCTTATCACACGAAGCAATCTTTGGCTAACCATGGGCCAGTCAACGTTCACAGAGCACTTTTGGTACTTCCCAGCAGATTAGAGATTCAGGTATCTTTACAAGACACCATGGCACCACTGGACTCTGCTATCAAGGAGGAAAAACGGTGTCCAAGCCAGCAGAAAGGCTTTGCCTCCATAACTGTTACAGCCAGGCGTGTTGCTGTGCACTCTGGTGACCCAGCCTGTGGCCCTGGGGCTGTGCAAGAGCCCAGCATCATGTCCACCACCTCCAGCAAAGTCTCTGTTGCCTTCCGTCGCTGGCATCCACCAGCTCACACAAAGCAACATACCTCTCCATTAAAGACTTCTGCATCTTGCTCAAAACTAGCTGAAGAGCCACGAAAGCAGCTTTTTGACCCTGGAATCAAGGAGAATGGTGTTGGCCTCCAGAGCAGTGATGGGAGGGAGAAAGCACCACCTTCCTTCATCTCACGTGTCCACTTCCAGGTTTCTCAGCGGTGCCCAAAGAGCATCTATTATTTAGACAAGTCACTCAATGTGTGCATTGCTCAACCTCGAATTAAATGCCAAAAGATGTATAGATCCACGTTGTCCTTCCCTCTAAAGTGCAGTTTTCCTAGATTAACAGCAGATGGAGTAGATGGCATAGCTAATGGAAAGCCCATCGAGGACATAGCTCAAAGCAAGCTCCTAGGAGCAAGCAAGACTCCACTCAGGTCACACTTGAGTGCAGACTTCCCACAAAATAGGGTAATTAATAAAAGGGGAGCAAAGGAAGGCTATTTGGGTGGTAAATACCCTTTGCCAAGTGTCTTTATCTCAGAACTTCCAGCGCTTGTGGATGTACCCAGAGGACCTAATACCATAGTAGCAACAAAGAGAGAAGATGATGAGCAGTCTGGCCGCTATCACACTGTGCTTGCTCTCCAGCTTCCTAAGTCAAGTGATGAGGCAGGTAAGTCGTTTCCATAGACCTCAGGCTGGTGGAGCAGAGGTTCAGGCTGGAACAGCCCCACCACAGTGATTTTGTGAGAGCAGATAATGGTAATCCTTACTGCTGCAAAACAGTGAGTCAGAGCACAGCCCAGACCTTTTCAGCTCCAGGACTGCCATGAATATTTGCCATGCTGGTGATGCATGGTGCTTGTCATCTGAGAGAGAAAGCTCTGCCTGTGTTTTTGTCTCTATTTTTAACCATTTAGAACTCTAATTTATTTCTTTATTTTTCTGCCAGCAACATGCAAGTGCTTATCCCCTGAAAATAATTAGGTCTTTCTTTGAATAAGGGCTGAACTTCAAGGTGTGAAATGAAGGAGATGACTGCACTGAGCTGGGTTTTGTGCTCCTTGCAATTAAAAATGATCTTGTTTTCAGCCTTTATTTAGAAGGACACAGTAAGAAGCCCAAGCTGTTGTAACTAATGGCTCCAGGTAAATGGTTTGCAGGTCTTGCACACATTTATTTCCAACATCTCTCAGCATTTTACAAACATAAAATTGGCTTTGCAACATTGCTCCTGGGGAAGGGAGATGTGCCACGGGGATTGCTTCGTGCCCAGAGTGGTGCAGACTCTGCTACACTGGGCATTTCACAGTGCAGCTCCTTTAACAGTGCTTGGGTAACCATAGCTGAGTTTATTGACTTTCCAGGAAGGGAAGGTGGATGGGAACAATGTCAATGAGTGAGTCTGTTTTTCACCAAAAGCACCAAGATTAAAACTCACCCCCCATGTATCCTGTAACCTTGGGCTATGCTGAAATGCAATTACCCTGTTCTTATATGGCCTTTTTGATATAAGGGTCAGTGTATGAACATAAGCTACTTCCTCAGATTGCTTTGTACCTTCGTCTTCCCGCTGTGCAAGTGTACAAAAAGAGGAAGATGGGAAGCTGAAGGCTGTCTCGGGCTGGATGAGGTACAAACTCCTTGCAGTTCCTGCTGCACTGCCTTTCCCATGCCTGAAATCAGTGGGACTGTTCCTGCAGCTATAAAGGTGCAGGACAGAGCCTAAATATTCCTTTATGATAGAGATAAAATATTGTCGTATGTTTCTAAGCATAATCCATGTTGTGTGCTGTTGGAGGGGAAATGGCACAGTGAGGAGCAAGAGAGGGAAGATGCCAACCAATGCTAAAGGGTTGAGGGGGGAAATGCAAAGGGATGACATCAGCAAAATAAGCATTTCATTGCATACAGCCTAATTTCAAATAACAATATCCTCCTGAGCTTTCCATGGAGCGTGTTATGTGTTCAAGGTGTTGTTCAACACCATCTAAGTTTTCTCTGTGATATATCACAGAAACAAGGATTGAAATAACACTGAGCCTTCCCTGGGCTTAGTGATACCTCTGTGGCCATGGAAGAACCACTTTTACTAGAAAGTGAAATAGGACACTGCGTGTGGTCCTACATCTTTACCGAAAGGAGGAAATCAGTGAAGTAAGCAGCTGAGAAGTCCTGGGATCTGAAAAAGGACTTCCACCATTTGTGTACACAAGAATATAGGTGTAAATAAACATGGGAAGTGTTACCTTTTTAACTGCTTCCCCCTTTTGTGTGAGCAATAATGCAGAATGTAAAGATATATATTTCTCTGGCTTAGCTCCTTTGTAATATATAAGAAGGTGTTTATCAGCTTACTACAACTTTCCTGTGTGAAATTTGTATAAACAGCCAGGATAATGCTTCAAAACAACAGCCTTTCTCACCAGGATCACTGAAGTAATGAGCTCCTGCACAGCCATCAACAATGAAATGTGACAGATCATGAGAAACCTGGTTAAATGCATGAGACAACCACACTGCTCATTAAAGTGAGAGGCAATTGGTGTGATTTCAGCCTGGGAGGAATGAAAAAGTATTCCCTTTAGTTCTGAAAAGGGGTGCAGTGAGGGATAGAAGTGATTAACATGAGGTTACTAATCCTAGAACCATTTAGGCTGGGAAAGATCTTAAAGTCCTTGAGTCCAACCATTCCTCAGCACTGCCACAGCCATGACTAACCATGTCCCCAAGTGCCACATCTTCTTAATCCCTCCAGGGATGGTGACTCCACCACTTCCCTGGGCAGCTGTGCCAGGGCTGGACCGTCTTTTTGGGGAAGAAATTTTATACCATTATAAATTCCCAATTATTTTAGCTTTCCCATCCATTGACATTAAGCTTTGCTCTATATTTATGCAATGAAATGTTTGTGAAATGAAATGCTTAAAAAGAAGGAAGAACTAGCAAAGAAGGAGCTGCAAACAGCTTTGGTCACTGTGTTAGTCCTTTAACACAGTTATCTTGTGCATGAAGGAACTGCAGAGAGCACTTTGTCCATCACATTTCTGATGACCCAGAAAGTTTGAGTTTATATTGGTTTGCAGCTGGAGGCAATAGTTTCCTGCCAGCAGAAATACAAGTGGTAATAACATCACCCTGCTGTAAAAAAAAAAAAAAGGAAGAAAAATTACTTTCAAGGCTACACTTGTCTGTATGAAATCTGTAAATGTAGTTTCCAGGATGTCCAGGCTGCTTTATTAGGATCTGAATTGGAATGAGCACCCAAATGCTTCTCTGCTTCACAGGTCCTGGGGCCAGGATTGCTGTTTCCTATAGGGCCAGTTGAGTCATGGCCTCTTTGGAGTGTCTTTTTCCTGATTTTTGGTGTGACTTCACTAAGTAATCACAACTCTACTTCTAGTATTACTCATACTATTTCATGTTTAAATCCAAACATTCAAGACTTGTCTTTACACAGCCCTGGATAACCTAATCTAAGGCCCTGCTTTCAGCCGGAGCCTGGTCCAGGTAATCTCCAGAGTTAGATATTTCCACCATGTGCCACATAGGAAAAGGATATTATAGGATTATTAATGAAATTTAAATCTTGGGCTATGCTCATGCATGGTAATTACACTTAGAAATCCAAATCGTTCAGACTCAGTGTTCAAAGTTGTGTTTCATGCTGCAGCATCCCAAAGATGGAATATGATCCTGTGATTTCACCGCTGTGGACTTTATCTTCTACTTGCTCCATTGCTTTGAGTCTTTTTTTCATTGTCTGGCAAGCAATTTGACTAAGTTCTGGAAAATCCATGTTACATGTGAAGTCAGACTGGAACTATGGTAGGACATAGAGCTGCAGGAAAATAATTTGGTCTATTTTTAGTGAGTGACCAACATGTACATCCCTTGGGCAGCTTAAGGAACGTGAAGCTGTTAATGTGAAGTGTCCCACTGAAAGCCACACGAGCCACCTCAGAGACCCAGCCAGGGGTAAGCCCCGGCCAGACTCCATGAGGCCCTTGTCAGGGGTGATGGATGTGCATCACTCTGCCCTGTGTCACAGCTTTTACCAAGCTGTCAGAACCTGCTAATGTTGCTTTTCAGGGAATGCTGCAGTTTCCTTTATTCTCTGCAGCTGAAGTCTCACAAATACAAGGTAAGTTAAAAATGAGAAGATTACTCTTGTTTCTGCTGAAGACAGGAATATTTTTAATCTTAATTTCTCACCTCCCTTTGTGAAGAATATATTCCACACGAATTTCTGCTTTTCCATCTGTGTTTTACAATCTATTAACTGCTGGGCTCTATGCTGAATTATTCAAAGAGAAGAAAATGGGACAACTTTAAATTCTTTTTGGCCTCCTGATTAAACAATATCATCACTTTACTATGGAGGATTATAAATGCCAACATCCAAATTTATCTGTTTAAGCTTAGATAACCATAAACCTCTTTATGGCTGAGCACCTTCACAAACCTGAGCTGTTTTATAAACCAAGACACTTTCTGCTAGCACCTACACTTTTGTTCTTCTACTCTTGTCACACCCAAAAACTGCTGTGCAGTTATTCAGGAAGAACAATCCGGGTGGAGAGAAATGTAGATCCAGCTGGGATGGTAGGTGCTGTGCTGGCTGCCTCAGCTCTGTCGAGGTGCAGATGATGTGCAAAGAAAGCAGGAGAGCACCTCATGAGTCACCCTCCTGTGCAAACTGCCCAAAATAAGGACATCAGGATTATGAGGTATGAATCAGCAGTAGTGTGGCAGCAGGACCAGGGCAGTGACCATCCCTGTGTGCTGGGCCATGCCTCAAATCCTGGGGTCAGTTTTAGGTCCCTCGTGACTAGACATTGAGGGGCTGAGTGTGTCCAGGGAAGGGAACAGAGCTGGGGAAGGGGCTGGAGCACAATCGGATGAGGAGCAGCTGAGGGAGCTGTGGGGGCTGAGCCTGGAGAAAAGGAGGCTCAGCATGGACCTTCTTGCTCCCTGCAACTCCCTGACAGGAGGTTGGAGCCAAGTGTGGGTCAGTCAGTCTCTTGTCCCAGGGCAGAAGTGACAGGAAGAGAGGAAACAGCCTCATGTTGTGCCAGAGGAGGTTTAGATTACAGACTTGGAAAAATTTCTCCACAGAAAAGGGCTGCCCAGCCCTGGCACAGCATGGGTGGAGTCACCCTTAGTGGGAGGGATTTAAAAGCTGTGTGGATGTGGCAGTCCTGGGAATGGCTGGACTTGATGCTCTTAGAGGCTTTTCCCACACTTATTCTGTGACTCTGTTTGACTTGCACAAATTACACGTGAGGTCATTAGGTACTGTCCATGTTCTCTCTGTGGAGACCAGGAGGCTGTAAATAGCTCCCAGGCTGCCCGGGCAGAGCGGCCCCGAGCGCGGT